CACCAGTTGAAAAGGCTGTATCCCCGCCCTCATCAAGTGAACACTAACTCCACCCCTTCAGGATAGGTAAATATATTAGGATTCCTTACGTTTTAAATCCCTATAGAATTATATAAGTATCATTCTTTATGAAAATCCATAAGAACTAATATCTATGCTTGAGATTTTCTTTTAGTAATCATAAGATGGCTGCTGCTGAACATCGGTTGATAGTTAACTCTGCTTGCTGGAACTGTTTCCTGAAACTGCACTGCTTGAAGTTACCAGGAACCTGCTTTCATCAATCAAACAATTGTTGAACTGTATCGATGATTAATAGACTTGCCCTTAATCAAACCCTGAATGGTTTCTATTGTTAAAACATTATGAATTGATCATTAGTACACGTAGCCCCTCTCCCATTTACTTGCATGTATCCCATTTTCAATAAAAAGGCACGGTGATTCCTAACCGTTGTCACTCCTCAGAGAGCGATCTTAGAGGAGTGTCCGGCTTAGGACGTGCATGAAAAAGCACGAGGCCTTTGTCTTTCTTTCCTTCCAGCGTCGCCTCCGTGGAGCAAACCCACCCCCGCCGAGGCTGGTCCCCGGCAGTTTTCAAGCCACCGGTCGGGACTCAAAATGCAGTCAGCCATGTGGGATCCAGTCGCCGTAACTCCACACCACCTGCTGGCATGAAATAAAGACTTCTAAAAACTAAGCCGGCCCCGCGGGCCAGTGGTGAAGGGAGCCAGGCCCTGCATGACGGACTGCCGCTCAGACTCCATCTCTGGGGGTTTGAGGAGCAGGCCAGGTGGTGCGTGTGTCCAAAACCCCAGTGAGAGGAGAAGCGAAGGAGGAGGGAACTGGCGTGACCACACCCCACTGGGGGTGCTCTCTCCCCCTCCTTCTGTCACTCTGGCAAAATTTAAAACACAAAACTGGGGCTGGCTGATGGTGTCATGGTTACATCACTGAACTCCCACGTAGTCAACTCCCAGACCCAATGGCTTAAAACTCACGCCAGGCACATGTGCGTGCATGTATGCCCAAAATCCCAAGGAGACAATGGAGACGGGTCTGCGGCACGACCACCCTCTCAGGGAATAATTTCTTGCTTTCTGTCTCTCTGTCTCTCCAGCAAGCGCATGCGCCCCGTAGCAAAAACCTCTAGGGGACAAAACCACAAAAACTATCGTAACAATCACGATGGGGTAGTGGAAGCCGTCAGTCTGCTGTCCTTGTGAATTCACTAATCTCTCCACTGCTGTACGTACTGCTGATAAGGTTCTGATTCGCTATAAAAACACCAACTTGACGCACACGAGCTCATAATGTACCTAACTGACCAGATCCACACTGCGAAAGGCACGCAGCATCGTGGGAGAATGTCGACAGGACCCGACGCCCTGCGCCGTGTAACCTCAGACCAGACTCACCCCTCCTGTTCATCGGATTCCCTTCTCTGTAAAATGAGAACCATACCAGACTCAGCCTGCTGCACAGCCGTGAGGGTTTAGTGAGCTGATCTTTGGTCAGCTCTGAGTAAAGTAAGCTGCATACCACTGAAACCGTTCAGGAACTGCAGTTTTAACATCTCCAGGAAAGTTTAAAACATATTAACATCCAGGTGTTTTTCTGTTAGAAGTCTATACACATGTTTCTGGGGAGCGGGGGTCACTTATCATGCAAATAAAAAGTGAAAAAAGGTAAAATACAGTTGGGACAGACTACGAGAGTGAAAATCAGACCTGTGAGCCCTCGAACACTGCAGACCCAGGACCAAGCCACCGGGCTGCTGCAGGGGCCGGCGCGGGCAGGCAGCCCGTCAAGAGCGCAGCACGCTGGGAGGGCTGGGGCCAAGAACTACTTCTTTTCCGGAAACCAATCTGGTCATAAACCAGACTTGAAAGGATTTCAGACTGTGTAGCAGCCAATCTGAGGGCTTTTCTCTTGTCTTTTTAAAGATTTGTTGTGGTGGTGGTTATTCATTTTTATTTATTTCATGAGAGAGAGAGAGACAGCACCGAACAGGGCTTCCCACTTCCAGTCTTAGCTGGCATGCCAGGGAGGTCCCAGGAGGTGAACCCAGGACCTCTCCCGTTTGAGTCCAGCTGCAGTACCACTGCAACGCCACCTATCCCTTTTTATTCTGTCCCCACTACTCTGCTCACCTGGCCTATGAAAAATCTTGTACAAACCTCCAGCACCCCACTGACCTCGCCTCTGGTAGGAACCCTGCAAAGGGGCCTGCTGTGACAGGGCGTCCTACGTGGGACGCGCCGTACCGACGGTTTCTGGCTGCAATTCTCCAAGGAGCAATCAATGCTGGGTCCCCGGGTCCAACTCAGGTCCTTCCAGGGTTCATCTGAACTAACTTCTTAAAATGAGGCTCGCTGGCTTCACTTTGAGGGATATTGTAAGGGAATGAACATCGGAATCAAGTAAAATGCAACGCAGGCAGCCCATGTGCGCAAACGAAGGCCCTCAATTTAAGCTAGGTGGACTGGGCCGCCCCTTCTCACTGCTGAGCATTACTCCGTCCAGGGGCCTGTCACGGTTTATTACCTGGTCACGTGTTGGGGACTTGGGGACTGTCTCCAGTCGGGTTACTGTGCATAAAGGCTCTGTGACAGAACTGCACAGCTCTAAGGCACATGCGACCCTTTCTCCTGAGTAACGAGCTAGAGGTGGCGTGGCCGGCCCACGGGGACGCGCACGTTAACTCTGGCTTAGAAGAGCAAGGGGGGGGCTTAGAGAGCATGGGGACTCTGGGCTGGCAGGCGGGCTTATTATCTTAATGTGGCGACAGTTTCATGGTGCAAAAATATGACGCTATTTATCAAAGTGTACACATTAAACATGTGCTCCAAGTATGTGTTTGCTGTATGTCAACGAAACCTCAGTGAGAGGTCCTGAAACAGAATAAAAAAATACTAAGAATGTTCAGATTTTCATTAGAGGACAGTTACCTCCAGTCTAAATTATTTAAAAAAGAAATCCAACATTCCTGTCTTTACCTTCAGAACATGCTGTAGGCACGCCCAGGCTGTGCTCCGAGGGTCAGCACGCTCGCTGGAGAGCTGCTGGGCACTGAGCACAGGGGGCGGAGGCAGAGGGTGAATAAAATACCGAATCCCACCAACTTAGCAGAAGCAAAGCAGGCCTGGACAACGGGTGTTTTTAATGAAGGCCTTGGAAAGGAAGCGCTTTCTCCATGAGCAGGTGCGTTTGCCCGGCCTTGCTCTGCAGCCCGTCCCATGTCCACACCCTCGACCCTTCAGTGCGGCTGAGAGCAGATCGCAGAGGTTCAAAGTCAAAAGCTGGTGTCCCAGGGAACCAGCAGTTAGCGTAATGTCCATGTCGCTGAATTCCCTCGTAGTCGACCGCGGTTCCCGTTCCGGACCCGGCGGCTTAGAACTCACACTGGGCGCATGTGTGTGCGTGCCCAAGATCCTGAGAGGAGAACGGAGGAGAAGGGATTGCGGCGTGACCATCCCCCCTGGGGGGTGATTTCTCGCTTTCTGTCTCTATGTCTCTCTCTCTCTGACTGGCAAGCGCACGTGCCCTATAGCAAAAATCTCTCAAAAGAAGAAAAAAAAAAGCCGGTGTCCCAGGAGGCCGAAGAGTTTGTCTTCTTCCTCAAAATCCCGAGGTCCTACTACCCACTCCCCATCCACCCCAAATTCCATTCTTCATGCAGCCCTGGCCTTCCTTTTTAAAGAGGTTTTTGCTATAGGGCATGTGTGCTCACTGGAGACAAAGCCCCTGCTGCAATCCCTTCCCCTCCATTTTCCTCTCAGGACATTGGGCACACAAGCACACACACCTAGCTCGCCAGGTCCAGGACCTGAACCGCGGCCGGCTATGTGGGAGTCCAGTGGCATGACCCTTACCCCATCTGCTGGCTCACAAGAGCCTACTTTACAGGACCGGGTCTAAACTCCACCTGACCTGGATTTCAAACGCACAGGACAGTCTCCTAGAGCCCGATGCTCTTCAACCAACAGGCACTGGTACTCGCTCAGCGGGGTCCAGCCCTTAAGTATCTTTCGGACTACAGGTGACCTACCAGCACAGCTGGCTACAGCTGCAGATGCCCAGGCCCACCCCGAAGGGTTCCCCTGCAGGGCTAATGTGGGGCCCTGGAATGTGCATTTCAAACTGGCACACTAAGCTACCCAAGGCAGCTAGAACTAAGCTGGGCAATCAGGCCTGAACTCCCTCTCAACTACTGCCCAGACGCAAACCCATGTCACTGCGCCCAAGTTCATGAAGATGATGACCCCGGCTGCCCCGCATCCTCTCGTGCCCCCGCGGACAGCTAGCTGTGCACACACCCTGAGCGCTCACTGCCCTCCGAGCGCCACAGGTCT